GCCAAGTAACCATAGCCAAAGATACAGAAATGAGAGAAGGGAAGGAGGAAGAGGAGGAAGAGGAGGAAGAGGAGGAGGAGGAAGAGGAGGAAGAGGAGGAAGAAAGGAGATGCTACCGCTTTAATACGTGAGTGTGTGCGCCTACAATGAATAGGTCCTCTTTCTCCCTGTCCCTCCCTTTTAGCTCCAGTGTAGAGCATGCTGGAGCAGCAGCACCTCACATTGTTGAGAATGGGGACCCACTCTATCCTCGACATGTGTTTTGGTTTGAACTAGGGCTTGATCCCTGGACCTGCCAGTCACCCTACAATGCAATTTTCCAATTACAAAGTATGAGTGCTCAGTCAACCGCAGGCATAAAGGAAGAGAAAAAAAAAGAAAAGAAAAGAAAAAAAAGAAAAAGAAGGACAAGAAAAAGGGGACTGTGACGGACTGTTTCACGGGGCTTTCACCGACTCATCCAGAAGCTCACCCCTCAACTATCTCCAGAGTCCCCTAAGAGATGATATTGTCCACCTTTGCTTCTTCCCTTCTGATATTTACGGATTTTTGTACGAAATTCGATGCAAGCAACACGAGCAACGCACAGCACAACCCTTTCACGGCACACGGCAGAAAGCACAGCGACTCCGGCCGTGACAAGAAGACAGTTCCCGAAGCCCTGCTAAGGAGGCTGAAAGAAGGACCGCCACTCGAGACACAGGCTTAAACCACCAGTACGTCCTAGAGTCGTGCCCGTTAACGCGCCACGATTTTAGGAAACGTACGGGCTACTACAGGAGCACCCAAATTCATCCGACTAGAAACGTTTCTGCTCTATTTTTTTCCGCGGCCGATAGCTGGGCTAAGTACTGCTGGCTTAATACCCTGAAATATGCGCCTACAGGTTGATACCTTGCCAGCGTAGCTGAGGAGGTTGGAAATGGGGCAGAAATGTGTCCTGCAGTCGGTGATGCTAAGCTAAGCTCTGTCTCAGGGTTGAAGAATTAAGGGCCTGAAAGGGGTTAGGGAAAAGGGTTTAGGGGTTTGCAGCGCGGTGGGAGAGGAACGACTGGGCTTTTTTTTTTTCTTCTTTTTTTTTTTGGTTTTTTTTTTTTTTTTTTTTTTTTTTTTTTTTTTTTTTTTTTTTTTTTTTTTTTTTTAAGGGGGCCCAGTGCCCAAGGCTCAAAAGAGTTTGGTGAAATAGCTTCAGGGGTTTGCAGCTCAACGGCCCGATTGCTGGGCTCTGGAGGCAGTCCCCTGGGTATAACTTGTGTGTGATTTCTGAAATTTGTAAAAGGGGGCGCTAGGCCCGTTTCCCAGCAGGTGCAGCTCCCCACTAATAGATGGAGCCTCCCTGGGAGTAGCCAGAGATGTCTGCTCCTACCAGGATCTCAAGCTGCCTTCGGGGATTGTTTTGTTTTAAAAAAAAATTAAAAAAATTGTACGTTTGCCCCAAAACTGATAGCCCTAGGTGGGCACTGGTCACCAGCCACTGCCTTCTAGAAGAAAGTTCGAGCATACTATCGCCCACCGACATAATACTGAAGGCATGACGGACTGTAACTCCACACCGCATCAAAAACCAGCAAAGCTCCCCCAAAAGGAGAGCATTTAACTCAGAATGAATCCTGCTTGTGGATTGTTCCTATTTCCTTGCGGTTCTTGTTCTTGTTTTGGCAGCAACGAGATTACGGAAGTTGGTGGTGCATACATCGGCCGGATGCTGTCAGAGAACTTCAGCATCACATCACTCAATTTATCTTGCAATCGTCTCGCAGATCGTGGCGTGCAAGGCTTAACAAGGGCACTCACTACGAATAAATCGCTCAAGAGGTAAAGAGCCTGAGGGCGCAGAACCAATAAAGATCAACTCTTTTTTTTTTTTTTTTTTTTTTTTTTTTTTTTTTAAAAAAGGTCAACTCTAACTGCAGGCTGTCAACTTCTCCTCGTCACAATTATGATTGTTGGCCTCAAGTTTCAGCAGCTACCTTCTTCCCCCGAATACAACGTACGGTCATTATAGCTGTATCTAGACTGAATGATGCCTCAAATACTGCTATAATGACCAAATATACGTTGTATTCGGGGGAAGAAGGTAGGGAGTAAGAAAGGATGGGGTCTAGACACTCTAGGGCTTACAGGTTAGGGATTAGGTCTGTGCTAACTGCTAACATCATGTCCAATTCTTAGAGGAAAACTCAGCTCTTAAACCACGAGTACATCCGGGCCTCTTTTGTGCGAGGCGTATTACCCCTGTGTGCCAAGCTTTGCCGAACTGCCAGCGCAGCGTTTTTGTTTTGTGTTGGCTGGCACCGACAGCCATTTTGGTCTGGTTGCCCCGAGCCTCCGATTTGTTCGGAGACTCTGAGGCTCAATCGTGATTCTCAACTTGGCTGGGGCCATGTACTGCCGGTCTTAGACAATGCCATACATTGCAACTCAAGTAGAAGTGGATTTAGGCTTGGGCCCGGCTGGCTGGCACCAAGCCTTTGGAAGAGATTTTTTGAGACTCCAGTGCTGGCGGCAAAAGCAAGCACTTTTGTTTCCATTCTGCATACCTCCGGCTTTTCAGCACACCAACCAATCCCCGTGCCTCCTTTCCACACGGGATGGCTGGTACATTTACCAACCTCTAGAGGTTGGCAAACGTACCCGCCATCCCGTGCGGAAAGGAGGCACAGGGATTGGTTGGTGTGCTGAACAAGCGGAGGCAAACTTGCCGGAAAAGGCAAGTTGTCCCGATCAGGTAACAGGAACCTAGGGAAGTGCTGAAAATTGTTGTGGCAGTGGAGTCCTTTTTTGCTTGCCCATTCCCATCGACTATGATTTTGGGCTGGCGGATGTTTTCCTTGTGCCAAGCACCGCCAAGCAGCGGGGTCCTACCCTTAGACTAGGAGCGAAGAAGAATAAGAAAGAAAGAAGAAGAAAAGGAGAACACAAGATTGAACAAGAGTCATTTCCGATTGTCACATAATCGCTCGCTGCCTCCTCCTATTAACAACTAAATACAGGAATTAAATGAATGAATGAATGAACACAACATTTGAATGATCCCCGTTAACTGCCAGCACTCAAAGAACTCTCCTTCAGCTCGTTCTGTCTCTCGCCTCTGATCACGGTTGCAGAACTGTTACAGGCTATTGTCACACTCATAGATGATGTCAATGTCCAGTGAGTACCCCAGCGGAGGCCTTCTAGGTGCCAACCAAGGAAGTGGAGAGTGAAGGTCGGCCATAGGCAAAGGTATGTTTCTTTGTCGCTACCTCTCCTTCCTCCTCGTCTACTGCACTTGTCTACTCCGCGTTTCTCCATAGCCTAGCTTGAGGTCCTTCTCCCCCACCTCTATGCCCAAGCCTTCTTCCTCCTACTACCCCTCTTCCGCCATAGCCATGGAGGTCTTCTTCCTCACCTTCAACATGTCCTTCCACCCAACGCTCCCTTTTACTCTTCTTCATGTGGATTCTTTGCCCTCCCGGTGAATTCTTGGACTCATAGCAACCAATGATATACACTTGCCTCCAACCCTGACTTACTCTAGGACCTACTGGGTGTGCTACCCAGCAAACAGGTTTTGCTAGAACATCATTGCAGATTGTAAGCCTACCTGTAGGGCCTGTTCCTAGACCTAATCCTCACTGCATCGTGGCCTGTACGATCAAAACTCTTATCTCCTAGCCTACTGGACCTTACAGTCTGCTTGACTTCAAGTTGCTTAGATATCCATACCAGGTGTCTAAGAAGATTCCAGTTTTGTCCCTGACCATACTAGAATTGACTGTCCCTTGTCAAATTTGAGTCCTACCCCTGTAATTATTCCTATTTACACACAGGCGCAAACTCACACTCAGCAAGCATCAAATAAAATCTCGGATAAAGACAAAAAAGAAAAATGTAGAAATCTATTTGGCAACACTGTGCATTGACAAATCAGAACAACAAACAACAGTGTTCTCTTAAACATATAAAAATCTCCAGCTGCAACTATGTGGATCACTGCTTTTATGAGATCGAGATTTCAGGGTGTAGGCCCTACAGAACTTACGATAGGCAGAAGGCATGGAGTTAGGGAAATAGGGGTTAAGGCCTAGGGTTTAGGGTTTAGTACCTTAGTACCTAGGTCTTCTTTTGGAAAGTCGTCACTACGATCTCTTGCGATGTGTGGTTAGAAAATTAATCAGACTGTTTTCCAAAATGGAAGGGGTCTGCAAGAGCCTACCTCGGTGGGTACACCCATGAACTGTTGAAATATAGACCCGAGTTTGAATCCAGATGATGGAACTTTGAGTAAAACCAAAATATTCTTGAGTTGTCTGAGCCGGTCAGCTCAATGATGATATCTCGAGACCGTCGCCCTTTTAATTAAAAAAAAAAAAAAAGGAAGAGGCTAGCCCAAAGGTTGTGTTTTCTTGTTTATAAAGGAGGGGGAACAAAAGAACTGAAACTCTATATGAGAGAACGTATAGCAGTTGGTCGTTGTTAAAGGAATAATATCCTAGTGACTCATAGAGGGAGCATGCATGGTGAATTGGTGAAAAAAAAATAAAATCTTATTAAGACAGTAACACATTCTTTTTTTGAACTTTTTATTTCCCCGTATTTGGATGTCATTGCGTTATTAAATAAATGATAAATTTCAGAGTTGAATATTCTGACCATACCACACTACCATGTAACATATGTCTCCCTGATTCATGACGTAATCCGACACCATTAATAGTTGAATTGAAGAAATGAAGAAGACAAACAATCATCAGTGTGTATGATATATAGGACAAGAGATAAATGATGGAGAAGAAAGAGGGAAAAAATATAGTAAATTACTTGGCTACTAGCCGGGCCGCCGAGTTGACCTTGTTTGCCTGGGCGGCCCGACCATGCAAGGTCCAAAGTAGGTCCCAACAAAAAATAAAAAATAAAACAAAATCGAAAAAATCCTAGGCTGCCAGAGTGGCCCGGGTCCACTTGCCAAGCTGGGCCAAAAAGAAATAAAAAATAATATAAAATAATATAAAATAAATTTGGTAAAGAACTTCGATGTGACCCTGAGGCAAACGTTGTTCAGCTTATTTTTCTGCATAACATAGTTTGTTAACTTTGTTTTAGGATTTTTTTTTTTTTTTTTTTTTTTTTTTTTTTTTTTTTTTTCAGATGAACCGTTCGGGAAAATAGGATGACTCGGGCGGCCTGGCTGGTAGCCTAGAAAAAATCTGAAAAAAAAAACAATGTTATGAAGAAAACTAGCGTGAACAGCTTTTGCCTCAGGGTCAGTTCTAAATTCTTTACTAAGTTAAAAATAAAAAATAATTTCGTTTTTTTTTTTAGCCTAGCTAAATTACCGAAATAATGTTGATTATTCACTTATATTTAGACTGTGAATAAAAACATTCCTTGAGATAAAGGTATTGCTACTATGAGACTGGTTTGGTTTGTGAATAGGACATTAAACTAAGTTTTGTTTTTTCCTGAAGAAAAACACACCAAAATGTAATGAATTACACAAAATCTATTAAGTTTGAAGTTCACGAGTTGTTAGTTAAATTTGCAAAAGTTGTGAATCTAAAAAAACCTTCAAGTTGTTCCTTCTTTTCTAAGGAAAAAAATTAGGAGGAATTTCTAAGATTTAATTTTTACAGGCCGTTATAAAATTCTCTTATTATCAAAACGTAAAAACAACAAAGTCATGGGAATTTATTGATTTTGAACTTTGAAGTTTAAAGATCATTCACATTTAATGTGTATAAGTTGTTAACTTCGAGAGTCTTGAAGTTATTTATATTAAATAAATATGGAAATAAACTTCAAATGTTTCTTACTCGTAGCCAATTATTTCAAAATTTGTAATTTCTCTAGGCTACCAGAGTGGCCCGGGGTCACTTGCCCGGTCGGGGCATAATAATTTAAAAAAAAATTAAAAAAAATAAAATACTTTTGAATTTTATTTTTTATTTTAAATTTGGTAAAGAATTTCGATGTGACCTTGAGGCAAAAATTGTTCAGTTTGTTTTTTTGCATAACATAGTTTTTTTTCAGAATTTTTGGATTTTTTTTTTTTTTTTTTTTNTGACCTTGAGGCAAAAATTGTTCAGTTTGTTTTTTTGCATAACATAGTTTTTTTTCAGAATTTTTGGATTTTTTTTTTTTTTTTTTTTTTGCTGAGACCTTACCTGATCCTTGCACGGGCTGGCCACCCGGGACCCGGGCGGCCCGGCTGGTAGCCTAGTAATTTCTTTGATTTTTTTAAAGTTAACAAATATGTGTAGTACTTTGTACTTTAATATTTGATATTATGAATTGTGTCTAAGTTTCTTAATTCTTGTATTTTTGGTTGATGAAAATGTTTTGGCTTGTTAACTTTAACACTTTCATCTTGCACTATTTTTAAGTTTAACTTTCAATTTTTCATATAAGTCGGTACAATTACATGAAATGCTATTGAACTCGTGAGTTATTCTTTGTGGTTGATATTATTTAACAGGCTTGACTTGAGTTACAACTACATTGGAGATGATGGATTGTTATCTCTAGCTGATGCTCTCTCACAAAACAGAAAGGTATTTATTTAATTACTTTTTTTTTCTTGAATGTTGTTCTTAGTTGTAGTTTGCTTTAAGAATTAAATTGTGTAGAGTTCACAACAATGGTGCGTGCTAACTATCATTTCCCACAATAACAATGTAGTGATTTGCAACAATATAAATTGTGTATCAAAATGTATAAAACTTCAAACTTTTAAGTTTAGTCCATATTGTATATAGTAATGTGACCACGTCGATAGATTAGTTCGTATGCCATACTTTACAACAAATCTAGTGGTGTGTTTCTTTTGGAAAACTATCATAATTGCTAGGTTACTAGGGCAGATGTTCAAGCCTCTTCTAGTTGTCACGAATATTCGATAAGACATCTGCCCGACCATGTGTCAGGTCATGGGTTTGTCAGGGCTAGGGAAAATTATCAAAAAACAAAATAAAAAAAGTCTAAAAAAATATATAGGTTGTAAAAATTACAAAGACAGATATATCTTGGTTGAGCTTCCCTTTTAAATTCGCAATCCGATCAGAATATCGGAAAAAAAAATACTCATAACAATGGTCTCTTTAAACCTTTTTTGAGGGGGGGGGACGTTGTATATATGTGTTGTGAAATGTAGATTTTCACCATAACAGTTGTGTTCCATTTAGATTAATAGATCTAAAATGGAAGCAACTTTACCTCTATTGCAGATAATGGAGCACCTTTGGGATGAGGCAAACCAACAATAAAACAATTTCACCTCCATAACAAGTTGTTGTCGCAACAACTGCAGTTGATGCAACTATTGCTGTAGTAGCGGTTGTAGTTGTGTTTTATAAATTCTTGCAACAAACGTTGCCTAAGCATTGTTTTCAAGAGCAATTATTGCAGTAGTATTTTCAATTACTCTTATTGTACCTACTACAATTTTTTTTATTTTTTTTTAATCTCAAAATGGGTCCAAGTTTTTGGTTTCTGGCAATACACGCAGATGGTGTCACGTGTCGGGAGACATGTGACCCTTATAGATTTGTCAAAAATCGGATGCTCCCTAACGTCCAGCCCTAGCGCCTGAGCCAAGTGTCCGGACGTCAAACTTTTGGCTATGTTATGTAATTTATAAAAAGGAGGGAATAAAACGAAACTAAGACATTGTCTTAAAAAACAAGTTAAGGAGTGTTATTATAACAATACAATTGTAATACATTTTGTTTTGCTCAATTAGGCCTTCCATTCATTTGTAGTAGATCCTCAGTATATGAAGTTTGATTTAAAGAGGTTGATAGTGTTTCTCTTTGGTTATTGTTTATGTTCTTAGCGATACCTTCATGAAGGTGAGCTGAAACATAAGTAACTCGAATATGAGAAACAACTTAAATATATGGTATGACATTATGCAAGGGTTAGGAATAATAGTGTTTGATGAGTATACTTAGGGGTATTGAAATATAAAGAGTAACACAAACGTAAGGCACGACCAATATCTATTATGGTAACACCAATATCTAACCCTTATAGTATGACGAATATCTAGCCCTTATGGTAGTACCAATATATATATACATTTTTTTTAACATCAGTTGATCCTGCTATGGATAGTGATATCAGCACCCACCCCTAGCAGGCCTCCTGTTGGCTCCATTCTATTGCTGGAGAGCTACACCTGTTGGAAAACGGGTCCAGCGTCCCTTGTACATAGTTTTTATGAAAAGCATAATGAGCATTCAAGCAGGTAAGAAGATAGAAACTGAGGACTGGTTGTGACCTTTCTCTTGATTCTCGACCTTTTGCATGTATTTCTCCTCTCCTACTGAATCGGCTCGTGCTGTAACTTGTGTATTCAAACTTATTTGGCCGCCAAATTTGACATTTCTACCTAGCTGGTTACAGTGTTTCAAACCATTCCTCTTCATTCGTATCTATACCAACTCATGGGGACTAGGGATAATGAGGAGGGGGGAAAGGGATTTGGGAACTCTGATAGAGGATGCAGGGGGACTGTGGGTCCACATTTGTCCAGTGGAATATCAGACGGTAGTCCCCTTGAGTCTTGACTTTCCATATTTTTCCTCTTTGTGTTCTCTCCCTTGACCCCACTTTCTTTAATCATTCTTATCTTACCTCCTTGAGGTCTCCCTAGCTAAGCGCCAGTATCTAACGCTTTTGGTAGCCTAATATGATAATATCATATTTTTTAATTTATTTTTTTTTTTCTCCTTGAACTACCAGTATCACTGTAATTTTTCTCTCGGATACGGACTTCCATTCTGTGCCTGTAAAACAAATTGGCCTGGGACCTTTTGTTTTGGAACCTGACGCTACTTGTTTTTTTTTTCAGTTCAACAACAATACTTATCCAAAAATCGTCATTGTATACAAAACCTTGAAATCCTTTGTCTATGGGTGATACTCAACATTTAATGGAACCACCAACATTAATACATTTGTTAGTTGTTTTCTTCATCTTGTTTTGTGACATGGTATAATTGCTTTATCCCTTTATGTGGACCTATTATAGTAATCAACTTATCGTGGTTAACATCGTGATTTGTTATTTTTATTTTACGCATTCATTATTTATGTTCTCTTTATCATACAAATATTGCAAAGGATAGCACAGGAAACTTTACCATATTCATTAGCGTTGTCCTTGCAGATGCCATTGACACTTACGATTAACATAATTTTTTTATGGTACAATCATCGTTGTTTTTTTAATCTATTAATTATATTGTTGCACCTTCTGATATACACTGCAAGTTGATTAAATCTCTATGTGTTTATCTACCCACAATATACCTAATTACCTACCTACTCACCTATGTATACATGTATGTTGTGTAGCACACCGAACATTCGGTGCCCCACCGAGCAGCCAAACATGTTTGGATGCTCGACTGAGCGCAACTTAGGGGGTTGTCGTGCAAGTCCTCATGTGTGTATGGTGTGTGGAGTGTGTGTGGGGTGTGTGTGTATGTGTAAGTGGTGTGTGTGTGTGTGTGTGTGTGTGTATGTTCATGAATGATAAGCAATGCCCCCCCGGGCCCCCCAACCCCTATATATATTTGAACAATATAAAAAATATATTCGGGTTCGGTTTATTTTGGGGCACATTCGGACTCGGTACCAAATGTTCGGGTTCGGTCATTGAGCTTGAATGTGATGCTACATAGCATGTATGATATCAAATTACCTCTAAAATGTATAGATATATAGATGTATACATATGCGCCTTTGCCTGTAACGTACTATTCGTCGCTTCTCAACTTACTAAGCAAAGAATCAATCCATTTAACAATTACACATTTCCACCTAGCTACCGACCCACTTTCGTTGTAACTTGTTTATGTCCTGACATGTCTATTCAACTACACACTTACATACTGAAGTACCCACCTACCAAACTAATCCATTGTACAATCAAATCATCTAATTCATAATAATAATTGTTTGCTCATTTGCCCAAGCGATTATCTTCCTACTAACTTAACTGCACCCCTAACAACCTACATTATACCTTGCTATTCACTCATTCACCATACAAATAATCTATCATTACTGATTCATTAGTTAATAAGGTTAATTATTAATTCTTGATGATCAATTTCCTTATTTGATTATGAACGAGGCAACTCATAAGATAATAAAACAAGCAAAGGGACTATCAATTTCAATACCTCAAGTCCTCAACCACCATATTCATTCATTCATTGAGTGAGAATTTGTATTTTTGTACTTATCATGAACCTATTTTCATATGGACTTTATTTCTATGTTACCAGGCCGAACGTCCGAGATCCCCCGTGACCGTCTTGGGTTGTCTAGTTGGACAACTGGTTGGACCTCCTCCCCGAGCAGTCTGTCCGAAGCCTGAATGCCCCCCCCCCAAAAAAAACAAAAAACAAAAAATAAAATTCCGGAAAAAACTATGTTATGCAGAAACATAAACTGAACAACTTTGGCCTTGGGGTTACATCAAAATTCTTCATCAAATTAAAAAAAAATATAAAAAAATTGAAAACATCCGCAATTGTCAATCACTAAGTCTGTCAGTCAGTCTGTCAGTCAGTCTGTCAGTCAGTCTGTCAGTCAATCTGTCACTCGGTCAACCATTCTTTTCAATCTGCCAATCGATGAATTTCAATTATGTGTGTGTTTGGTGTGTGTGTGTGTTGTGTGTGTGTGTGTGTGTCTGTGTGTTTGTGTGTGTAGACAATGCATCTGTGTGTGTGTACATAGTGTGTGTGTGTGTGTGCAGACAATGTGTGTGTGTGTGTGTGTGAGTAGATAGTGTGTGTGTGCGTGTGACTATGTGTGTATATACTCACGTGCGTGCCACTCTGGGTATTTGTGTGTGGATAGAATGTGTGTGTGTGTGTATGTGCACGAATGTCGCTGCCACTGCAGCTGCTGCATTTGCCGGAGCATATGGTCCACACGCTGCGTCAGACGAAGCAGCTGCAGTCACTGCATGTGCAGCAGTTGGTGACTGCAACAGCGGGCCCTCCATTTGAACGCCCCAAGCGATCCACCCCCCCCACACCCCACCATCACACATCGCACGTTGTTTCTGATTTTGTTTCCCATTTTCGTTTAGAACAGCCTGAATTTTTTTGGGGGGGGCTCCCCTACTGGTGTGCAGAGGGTTGTCGAGCCCCGGCCCCGGAGCGCCGGCGGGGGTTCCGGGGACCAGGGAGGTGCGCAGCCGCAGCCTGCACCCCCTCGGCCAAACTGCAATATTGCAGTTTTGGCCTGACCTCGGCCCCCCCCGGGGCTACACCCCACCCACGTGAGCCCGGGGTAGTGTGGGCCGGGGCTGGGGGCGGCTCCCAGCGGGGTGCGGGGCC